CATTATCAACTGTTTACATTTCCACTCCTCCCACAGCCTTGGTTGCAGATTAGATCCACCTGGGAACAGTAAAAGATCCCACTACTCAGCACTCTGAATCAAATGAGAACTTCTGGAGGTGGAGCCTTGGGACCCAGGTGATGTGCCACCAGGACAGAGAACAGCCACCCCAGACCATGAGGTCCTCAGCCACAGGGACTCTGCCTCCTGTGGTCACTGGGCACAATGCCTGGCCATGGCAGGTTTGCAACAAGCAAACCACTTCCCAAATACAGAAGAGGACGAGGACTACATTCTTCATTGTCATCATCAATGATCTTTGAACCAGGGCCCTCAGTGGCACTTAAGGGCAAAATACAGCCTCTTTCCTTCTGTCTCTCACTCTTCTCTCCTTGCCCACCTTTGGGGAAGTCCAGCTCCTGTGTGGAAAGCACTAGCCCACATGCCTGTGTATGTGGCTCCATCCATTCCATTTCCACTGGCCTCTTCCATCACCCTCGTGGTAGAAAACTGCATTAATGGCCTCAATTCTTCACCCCTCTCTGGATCACCCCATTGCCATGTGCCTTTGCAGTGTCCTCTCCCTCAGACTCTAGGTTTGGCCAAGTGACTTGCTTTGTCTCCTGCATTGGTGGCAAACACGACATAGGTGGAGGTTTGAGTGGTTGGGCTCTCCTGCTCTTGTTGCTGCTATGGCCATGAGCAGACCATGCAGATGAACTTGCAGGGGATGAGCTCAAGGAGCAGGGCTGAGTCACCTGGCCAGCCAGCCAAGGCCAGAGGGGATCGCCTGACAGCCAGTTGAGCCTCAGACATTGGAGTGGGTTTAGCCAACATCAACAGCACTGCCTACCCAACCTTGGTCTTAGGAGCAAGCCCAGCCAAGATCAGCCCAGCCCAGCCTAGAGTCTCTCAACCCCAAGATACTGTGAGCTAAATGGATGTTTTTTGTTTATGCCATTTAAGCTATGTGGTTATTCATTACTCAGCTTTATTGTACCAACAGAAAATTAATTCAGTTGCTTCTCCTTTCCTCTATGTCTTTAAATTCCCCATTGTCTTGATCTCACGATCCTCAGCCTAAAATGAACTCAGCTCTTTTCCCTGCCTTGTTCTGAGGTGCTGTATCTTCTTTCACTCTACTTTACCTCAATGCATGGTCTCTCTCTGCTTTTGCAGCTGGCTCAAAAACTTAAATCTCTGAGCAGAATTAAAATGTCCATTCTAAGACATAAAACCCTGAAAGATCAGAAAGCAAGGAAGACACTAGGGGAGCAGGGAAGCTTGTGAGAGATGCTTGGATTTTGTGTAACTAGCAGATCTGGGACATCATTAACAAAATAGTAATGCATTTGTTTAATTATGTTTATATTTCACTTGAAACACAACTGATCAACTTGTTCTCTGAGAAAGTATTTAATGCAACCAGTGATGGAACTCTTGAAATAGCAATACACAGTTATTGGTTTGTGAAAGGTTTTGTCATGCAGTTTACAAAAGGTGCAAGTAGATGCCACCACAAATGGGGTGCCCTTAGGACTCATTTAGGAATACGTACTGTACTGCTCGTCTTATGGCTAGGTCATGCTTCATAGTAAAGGTTTTGAAGGCATAAGATTAATTGTAAATGTTAAAATCCTACAAAATAAACTGCTGTTGTATTCCTCAAACAGCCATTTCCCTCTTGTTTCTGCAGTTCTGCCCCACTGTCTCTACCACCTGTCCATCCAGGAACCTTCCTCTGTTTGGCCTTGTCATGCCTCTAGGATTCCACTGTCATGGGGCTGCCTCTAAGACAACCCCTGCAGACACCTTTCCCTTTACCCTCTGCCCCTGACCTCTTCTGAGCTTCCCCACAATCTCCCCAATACCATGCAACCCACCAGCGTTGGGCCCTATTTGCCTTGTTCATCATTCTGTTATCCAGAACCTGGCACACAGCAGGTGCTCAAGAGTTGTTTACTGAAGGAAAGACAAAGGCAAGAATGTCCAGCTTTAGGCTCTGCTCTAAAAGCCAATCAGCTTCTCCACTTGGAAGAGCAGGTCAAGGAGGGCCATGGGCATAGACTCCCCTCTTTCCCTTCTCTCCCCAGAAAGGAGACTCCTCTTTTTCTGAGTGAAATTCCCTGCTCCTAAATTTATTTTTGGTACCACCTGCAAAGCCACTCATTGAGTGTGGGAGGGGGGAAGGGTTATCAGCCAGTCACCTCTTAGTATGAAATATTATATTCAATGCTCAGTCCCACCAGCTAGCAGAGACTTTTTGATGAAATGGGAGGCTGGAGAGAGAGAAGACTGGATGCAGGGGCACTTGGGGAGTGTGTGGGGTGCTGCATAGCCAGAAGGCAGGGCTGGGACACTGTGAAGGCCAAGCAGGGGGTGGCAAAAGATGAGGAGCTCAAGGGGGCAGAATAGGATCCAGAAAGAATGTGGGAAAGGCTGAGGTGGAGGCTGAGAATGGGTGCAGAAAAGAAGGTGGGATGGGATGGATGGAAATCCCAAAGACAGGAAAGAGAAAACCTAGGGGACACCACCTGGGAGCAGCTCACCTGCCTATATCTTTTGTGCAGCAGCTTCAGGGGAGCTGTGGCCAGGGGCTATGAGTATGGAGCCAGAACTACAAAGCCAGGCAGTCCTGGGTTACCTCCACACTCTCTGTGTCATGTTTTCTCATCAGTGCAATGGCTGGCTTATTGCTATTAATGTTTCTGCTTGAATTTTGCTTCTGCACCGCTTTGCAGGGCCTCGAAGTCTCCCCCTAGCAGTCTCTCTTAATCAACAGGACAGAGCCTTGCTGCCTGGAACCCAGTCTTGCAAACCCCTGCTTTCCAGACAGCCATGCAGAACCAGCCTCTGTGTCTTCTCACCTCTTTACCCTGCTCCTGTGATCTGACCTTGCCTGGACCTAAGCAGAGAAAGGGGACAGGAAGAGGGCGAGTTACCTACCCCTTCCCAAGCACTTGCATACTGTGACGGGTGGCTGACCTTTGAGTCCCACCTGACAGGAGACTTTCACCTCCCTGCAAGGTGGGTCGATTACTTCCACGTCACTGCTGGGAAGGCTGAGACACTGAGGCACAGCCACTGGCCCAAGGACACTCAGCTGGCTGGGGGCTCAGCTGAGCGCCACATCTGAAGATCCTGACTTTTAGATACAAACTGGAGACGTTGCTTTTGCTTCCTTTCCAGCCTTGATTTGGATCCTCAGCTCTGTCCATGCCCCAGGCATCTTGGGGCCACTGCTGACCTTCCATTCAGGAGCACAGTGAGTTCAATCCTACTGCCCCCAAAGCACTTAGTCTGGTTCCAGCATCTGATGCAGAGATGCAAATGGTCCCATCCACCACTCCTGTACATAGGGATGCACACTATGAGGTGAGGATGCCCCAAGCTATGCTGATGGCACATGGGAGGTTCGAGAGGAGCTTTGAGATAAAACCATGACCTCAGGCTGCAGGGGTGGGGAAGGAGGGCAGTGGGGGAGCTGCGTGGTGACACATTCATCCCTGAAGGCCTCAGCAGGGATGATAATCCCTACTTTAGAAGAATCCCCATCTGCTCCCTCCAGCCAACCCCATGTTAGGCCCTGAGAGACGGGCCCCTGAAGCAATGCCAGTGAATTTAGTTTTCTTTTCTTTTTTTTTTTTTTTTTTGAGACGGAGTCTCGCTCTGTTGCCCAGGCTGGAGTGCAGTGGCCGGATCTCAGCTCACTGCAAGCTCCGCCTCCCGGGTTTATGCCATTCTCCT